CTCACACCACAAATGCTCAGCTAATGTACGACACCCACCTGTGATTATACTAATCTTAATTAAAAAATTTATACTCAAATTTTTCAAATAAAAAATAATCATAGATGTGTGTCTATAAAATAAAGAAGATTAAATGATGAGAATTAAGCTAAGCCATCACTAGCAGAAGAAGCTTCCTAGCCGCCGTTGTTGTTGTCGTTGCTTGGTCGCCGCTTGAATCTCGCCGGTCGAGTACGCCATTAATGGGGCCAATGGAGATGATGATGAATGGGGGACCGATGGAGGAGGAGAGAATGAGTGAGAATCTTTTTCTTTTTTTTTTTTATTTAAAATATTTAGTAAGGGTAGAATTGTATTTTTAACCCCTAAAATGGCTATATTTCATTATTTTTTAAAACATGGCTATATTTCATTTCTTCCTTACCAAAAGGGCTAAAAAACCTACTTAAACCAGGAAACTTCAATTGTAGATCTCAAGTATAATTAAACATGAAATTTAAATGAAGCTTAATTGTTATAACTATATTTTATTTACATTTTACAAATTTTCAAATCATATAGGATCAAAGTTGACATAAAATATATTAATATCACACATCTATTTTTACAATTCGGTTCGGTACGGAACGGTTCTGTTCGGTTCTCGGTACGAATATTTGTTAAATATCCAAAACCATACCAATTATTTTTCGGTTCGGAGAAAATCAAACGGTCAACTGTTATTTTTCAATTCGGAGTGATGTCAGTTTTAAGACTGGTTCAGAATCCTCTGAGTCCAATGCTCAGCTCTACTGTCCACAACATATGGGAACTGCATTTTATATCTTTAGATTAAATCTAGCTTAACAAGTGTCAGCTTTAAGAGTAAGTAAATCATAAGAATGCTTCAAATTCACTGTGAACCTTGCAATCATGGCCTTTATATTCACACACTCTGCTAGCAAATAATTTACATTGAACAATGTTTTTACTATTTATCAAAATAGATAAACGTGTGTACTTCTAATTCACTTTAAGATTAGAAAGGATATTTGGTCCACTTTTTAATGCCAATTGGATCTTTTGCTCAAGCAAATGAATCCAGACAGTCAAATAAAGAAAGCCGTCGGCCAGTGTCTGCTGCCTGTATAATAATATAATAGCAGCGCCCGGACAAACAACCTATGGCCTATGTGTGTGGGACAATGTTTTTTCGCATACACATAAGCTCACTCAGACATTCAATCTTTTATTAATGGGCAATGCTATATGTACACCCCTTTTTAATAAAATACACAAAGGGCAATGCTATATGTACACCCCTTTTTTACACACAAGGGGGTGTACATATAGACACCCCCTTATTAATATAATAATAGTAATAGTACATAAATACATGTTGGCAAGTGACAAGCCTCAATTTCCAATCTATCCACCTTCTGAGAAACCACCACACCAAATTAAAGTGTGCATTTTTATAGTCTCATTTCTGCATAAATTTCACACAAACATAACATACACATAACATAACAGAGGTCAAATTTAGAGATAGATGGCGGCTTATGCAGCTCTCCTTTCTCTGACTCATACAATACATCAGATCCAAAATCATCCTCGCCCTCCAATTTCTCTCCACACTAATCACATTCAGTCCCTTACACACAACCTCACATTCTTGCAGGAGTTCCTCGAGAACTATTCCATCAACGGTGGTGCCGCCATCCAAGATTTCGAGCGCTTGGAGGGTCGTATAGCGGAGGCATCCTACGAAGCAGAAGACATAATCGAATCCCATGTGGTCAATCAGATTCAAGCTGCAAATGCCAAAAGTGTTAATGACAACAAATCCACTTTCCTTAGATTCTTTCGAGGTTTATGCAAACCCACGATCCGTGAGGATAATATCCGTGCGGTCGACATGTTTCATCAAGGTCTGGAGAAAGTGACGCAGGACTTTGATTTGATCAAGAAAGACGTGGGGGAGATCATGAAGCAGATAGGAGGAGGCCAGCTGGAGAGGAACTATTCGATGCCAGCTGGCGGGCCGAGACCCCCTTCCGGGCCCCACGGCTCCATGGTGGGTCTCGATGATGTCTTGCTTGAAGCCATGGATAGGCTGCTCGGACAACACTCGGGTCGGCAGATCCTCCCGATTGTCGGCATGGGTGGCATTGGTAAGACCAGTCTTGCTAGAAATTTGTATTCACATAAAACTGTCGAGGAACATTTTTATCTTCGCGGTTGGGCTACGATTTCCCAACAATATGATTCAAAAGAAATTCTCCTAGAAGTCCTTGTTTGTCTGAAAGTCATGGGGAGTAGGGAAATGTTGAGCAAAATGAAGGAACATGAAATAGGAGAAATATTATACAAAACATTATGTGGTCAAAAGTATTTGATCGTGATGGACGACGTATGGAGCATCCGTGCTTGGGAAAAGGTCAAGTTTTTCTTTCCCGATAACAATAATGGGAGTAGGATAGTTATAACTACTCGGCTGTCCGACTTGGCTTTCGAGCTGAGCGGCTCTCGTGGCCTCGAGATGGGATTTCTAAACGAGGATAACAGCTGGAACTTGTTCCGGAAAAGTGTCTTTGGAGAAAAAAACTGCCCTCCCGAATTGGAAGAAATCGGAAAGAAGATTTCGAAGAACTGCAAAGGCCTTCCTCTGTCAATCCTGGTGATCGGAGGACTACTCGCCATGTCCATCCAAACGTACAAACACTGGCAATACATTGCTGAAAATCTAAATTCGGTAGTGAATTTAAATGACAACAAACGTTGCTTGAGAATATTGCGTTTGAGCTATGACCATTTGCCGGTCCATCTAAAGCCGTGTTTTATTTACATGGGAATATTCCCTGAGGACCATCTGGTCAGCGCCTCAATGCTCGTCAAGCTATGGGTAGCCGAAGGGTTTTTGAAACCGATGGGAGATAAAACCCTTGAGGCTGCCGCTGAGGAGTACTTAAAGGATCTTGTCCAGAGAAATCTTATTCTAGTTCAGGAGCTGGGGCGCCATGGAGACAAGAAGCGTTTCGGGATCCATGATCTATTGAGGGACCTATGCATGAAAGAAGCCGAAAAGGACAGATTCTTTTGTGTGGCAGCAACAGATAGACCCAACACCGGGCAAATCTGGCACACCCAACGGCGCATAGGAATTCAGAGACGAGAATGGAGCAGCAAACACGTTCCCCGGGCAGTTCATAACGCCGTTCGATCCGCAATGCTTGCTCGTTCGTTGATTTGTAGTGCGGGCATATTCGCACCGGCACGGCGTCGTCCTTGCCGATTGTTGAAGGTGTTCCACGAGCACGGGCACGGCATCAAATTATCATTAATGTTTTCATTTATGGAATACACGTATTCCCTGAAAGACATCTTCCGGCAGGTCAACTCGCGGCACATTGTGGCCGCGGCTCTATTATCGAGACCCGACCGGTTCCCTTCTTCGTTCTATCACCTCTGGAATCTACAGACGTTGATAATCGACCTTAAAGTTACGAGTGGGAGTGTTGCTTCTGCTCCACCAGTGATCGACATATGGAGGATGCCTCAACTGAGGCACGTGAATATTTTCACGTTCCATCTTCCGGAACCCCCAACCAGCCGTGAAGATGATTCGATTATCCTGTGGGACCTACAGACGCTCAAGACAGTGTCGACTTCCGAGTGGGGTGAGGAGGCGGTCAGGAGAATCCCCAACGTGAAGAAGCTGAATCTGATTCTAACGTACACGGAAACCTCGTCGCGTGATGATTACCTTCTCGACAATCTCAGCCGACTGCGTGTAGTGGAATCACTTTGGTGCAACTTTAACTGCCAGGAAGACCTGAACATAAGACGAGAACACGACTTGGCTCTGAGCCTCGTGTTCCCACATTCGCTCAGGAAGTTGACGTTAGTACGCGCCACCCTCCCGTGGGAAGACCTGGCGGCCAAGGTCGGCAATCTTCCACATCTTGAGGTGCTAAAGCTGAAATTTTGGTCCTGCAAAGGACTCAAGTGGGAAACGGTCGGAGGCCAGTTTTGCAGCCTCAAGGTTTTGGAGATCCGTATGTGGCCTGAAGTGGAACACTGGACGATGGAAGATTGGGACCACTTTCCGTGCCTTGAGAGCCTTGTTCTTGCTGATTTTGATAACTTGAAGGCTATTCCAGCGGAAATAGGAGAGATACCAACGCTGAAAAGGATAGAGTTGATCAACTGCAATGAATCCCTTGTTGTTTCGGTGAAGGAAATGGTAGAGGTGCAAGAGGAAATGGGGAATGAGGCGCTGTATGAGAAGAACCAATTGGTGGAGAGCTTGGCTGCTCCTCCTAAATTTCAAGTTGAAGTCTGGTGATATATAGTTGTTCAACTCTCTTTTTTTGGAAATATTATCTTTTACATTAATTAGAGTATTTCATAGACATAGAATAAAAATCACTAAGGAGCTCCTTAAAAGGAATAAAAAACAAACACTCGTCTTTTGGAAAATAAAATTAAAGTCATTCGTATGAGGGGTAATTATCTCAAGCAAATACAGTTCACTTAAATTGAGTAAAATTATGAAAAATTCGTTTTCTTGCACGGGCATCTTTGGGGACAAATAATCGATTTCGTTTTTTTCTCCTAAACCATAAATATATTTTGATAGTATGTGGCAATTAAATTGACCATCTTCCATCCACGTGAAAGAAATAGATGTTCGAACTCGAAAAGTTTCCAGAGGTTTATTTCTACAATTTAGTATCTTCATATTATCTATTTATTTTGTACACTTCAGTTTATGCTTAACAATTTAACATAAATAAATATCCAGTAAAAAAAAAAACAACAATTTAACATAAATATTTCAAAAGGATCAAAACCAATTGTTTTCTAGAAAAAGTTCCCTAATACAGGCACAAAACTGATCGTAAGAAACAATTTGTGTAAACAACCAACAAAAGGGGGAAATAAAAAATAAAATCCCTCAGATGTTCGAACAAAATCGAATTCCGGACCAGAACAAAGAAACGGCAATGTTAATATCGTCAAGGAGCACGGTCAAAGGGCTTAGTGTTGTTATAACAAATATCCCAAACAGCTTCCATTGCATCCTTTGCTGATGCTTCCGAACAATATGGATTTGCTGTCACTGATTTCATCACTCTTCGCCGCACAAAATCCTACACACAGACACACACGCATCAGGCAGAGAATGTGACACTAAAAATTGATATTAACTTAATAGAAGTGGCACTTTGAGAATACTAGTAATTAGCATGTGACGAAACGCACTTGCTCATGTCCTCTCAGCTTCATAAAGCCACGAAGTAATTCCCTTTTGTAATGGCAATCTCCACTGAGATGGCCGGCCCGTATCTGCCCCCCGTAGGCCAAGAGAATTATAGTTGCATATCAGATTACCAGGAAAATTAAAATAATGACCACATAAAATCCTCACCTATAACACCTTTCCATGTGCTTATGAAATTAGAAATAACTTAGCCAAAGAAAAAAAGAAGTAATAAAGAAAGTGTACAACCTCACTGCAAGCATGGTGAGCACAGTCAAACCAGTCCAAATTTGCAGAACGACATTCATCATACGCATGAATGAGCTCATGAATCACCCACTTGTGTTACCTCATCTTGGATTTGTAGGTGATTACTACATACCACTATCTATGATCAGAAACAATATATAAGGTGAGGAATCACAGATTTCCAATTTACACATAAAATGAAAAAAAAAAAAAAAAAAAAAAAAAAAAAAAAATGTAAAATGCTGCCAATATTGTGACTCCTAGCTTCTACTTCAGAACACAGAAATTACTTTGGGAATCAACACACCATATTATTTTTTATGATTTTCTCCTTTTTCCGATTGGCGATTTAGGATTTCAAGATTTGAACTTGCAAACTAAATAAGTAGTGTGTTGTAACTTAACTTACCCCTTCGCCTTTAACATAACCACCAGCAGTAGCTCCTTTACAATTGACAGCCTTTATGAAATTGCTGCCAATACCACATCCTGATTTCTCCAGGTGCTCCTTCAGAAATTTTACCATGGGAGCTGCATAAAAATACATCTCGATGAAGGAACATATTGTATCCTAGAGTTAATAAATAACTGTAACAATAACTAAATAGTACTTCGAAGACTTCTCTGGATCATATTCTGGCATTCCTCAACCGTCATTCCAGGGCTTGGCTTCAAATCAGGCTCATCCGCCATGAGTGCTTAGTATTAATCTGCTCATTATTATTGAAGTTGATATTTTATGTCAACTTATTTAGAATTTTTCTTTTCTAAATGCAAGCTGAACTACGGTTTTGGCTCCATTCTGTTATTATACTTTGATCTTAAATAAAGTGAAAAAATATCGTGGTGGAAGTGTTAGAATGTGTTCTTATAATCTAATACAAACTTTTTAGGCGACAAAGGAAAAGGTGTAGAGTACTCCAAGTAGAGACAAAAATCCAAGGTTAGGGACTTTAAATGTAACACCAAACTGTTTACGAAAATAATAAATGTATGCTAATAATTGAGAGCCTCATACAATTTGCTAGCTGATAAAAATGTCTACATGAAAAGCAAAACAGGAAACACAATTACACACAGAATAACAATCTGCCAAATTTTGATAATCGGGAAAATCAGGGGTGCGGTCCCACACAGGTGAAGTGCACCAGAAGAGGGTGAGGGTGAGCTAGGTACACCTTAATGAGGTTCCATCCCAAACCAATTCGTGACGGAAGGAGTAGCCCACTAGGCTTATAAACTAGGTTCATTTACCCTATCAAATCAATGTGGGACGACTCACAAGTGATGTTCCAACACAATGAAATATTATAAGTAAGGTTAGGTGCTGGAAAAACAACAACCACGAATCATATTCATATAGCATTAAAAGCTAACAGCCCTATAGAAGAGGGTGAAAAAACTCTCATGTAACTAACCCGTTAAACCAGATTTTATGAGACATTGCACACTTAATGGCTCATAAACATGTCCAAAGAAATATTGAGTACTACAACAACTTATCCACGAAAATTCTTCGCTAGAAAAATGTCCTCTTATCTTTCCAGGCATATTATGCATCGCACGCGAAATAAATACAAATAGGAAAAGAATGAACAAAAAGGAATGATGTTAATATTGCATTTTTTTTAATCTTGACGACAGTGAACATAACTTGCTTCTGTGTAGACTAAATCTCAAGGGGGTGTAGTTTAATATGGACGTCATCGTTGATAAGCAAGTATCCAATATTAACTCAGCCATACTGAAACTAATTCATGGAAAAAGTGAAAGTCTGCAAGCACACAAAATAGAAAATAAGAAAAGGATATGGGAACCCACATATAAACAAAGCTGTTCAGAAGAAAAATATTTATATTTTGATGATAATGATATACATCTTCAGCTTCCTAATCAAAACAGTAAAACGAAGCAATATACGACATGATTAGAATGGAAGAATTTAAAGGAAAAAGAAAAAAGAAAAGCAGACATGATATGCATCTAGAGCGTGGATTTTAGTTGAAATAGCCTTCTCAATACAAAAAATTGGGCAAATGACCTTTGACTCAAAAATGAGAATAAAAGTTAATGAAAAATAATATTAAAGAGGAAATATCAAAAATGCCCTCCCCAATTAAACATTAGATTTCCAACTTTCAAATTTCTTCCTCTCTCCCTCGCGACACTATCTCACGACCTCCTCTCTCGTTCGACATCTTCTCAATCACTATGGAGCTGGTACGGATTTTTTCGGTTTTTAAAAAAAAAAATTAAAACTTGCTTGTCGCTGCCGCGACGTCCGTCGCGGCCGCGACGTCCTAGCAACATTCTCTGTCCGACCAAGAACAGGGTCTAGTGTCGCGCCCGCGGCAAATGTCGCGACCGCGACATACAGTCGTTTCAATATAACAATTGTACAATCGTTATTTATT